CTTTCAAGCCTGATGTTGCGACTAATTCCTGCAGTTATACCAAAAGTGCAGCATTACTTATAATTTACTATCTTGATAGGGAGGGGAAGCAGTTGGCCCTTACTACCTACCTGGCCCTTACTACCATAATAGCCCTCACTCCATGAGTCAGAGAGCCCCTGTGGAAATTCTGCCGGTTGCCAAGTACGTCTATTCCAATTACGTGTTCAGTGATGGGAAATAACCACAGGATGGGTCCATGGAACAAGTGGGCTCAGAGTAAACCAGACTTGAGTTAAGACTCCATCTATCACCTGACCACCATAATCTTCCATTTTGAGTAGGGGCCACAGTGTTGTTTTGGGTCCCCAGGAATTAGCATCAATTCAGAGCCAATGTTTAGTAATCTCAGAAAGTCTGGATATTTTCTTTTTTCCAGTGCATAATCACTCTACTAAAGAGCCACAGGTCCCTCTGGGTAAGGCTTAGAGGAAGATTCACAGTATATACTTGCAGCAGTGCTACAGAAGTTCATCCTCAGAGGGACCTGCCCCCTTCAATCAAGGGGCTCTGGGTTTGTGAATTGACTTAGTTCTGGAAACTTGATGAGAGGCTATGACTCTCTATTGTGGTGACTCAAGTCAGGTTTTTGCCTACTGGACTTGGACTTTTTTTCTCTTATATAGATCCAGTAATGCTTTATCAGGCTGCCCATCAATTTTGTTCCTAGGGATACTATGATTAATTAGCCATTGACAAATGTCCCTGTGGGCAAAGGCATTCTGATTACCAGTACATCCCTGCTTCCCTTTATGGTGAACGTGTCCACCTTGTCTTTGGCAGTTAAGTGCTGCCACATGTCCTCTGGCACTCCAGAATCCCATCATCCCCACTGAAATCAGGGAGCCCAAATCTATGATGATATCACCCATGGTCTTACGTGGCCTACTAGCAAAGCAACTACAGAGCTTTTCAGGGATGCAGGTGTTCTTTCACTAATGTATTTCTCAATGTCTTAGGAAAAGGGTGTCTTCTGGGAAGGAGTGTCTTATGGAAACCAGTTAGAGGTGGGTGTTTGGAGGCAGATTTGTAGGTCACACACGATAAATTCACTCCGATATTCCTATTTCCCTAAGTCTTTGGATTCTGTTCTCCACATCAAAGCAGGGAAGCTCTGGCTTCTCCACCTCATTAAATGTGGGCCACTGATGAGTCTAAGTTTCAGTTAACCAACGAAGCAAACTGGCAGAATCACCTCCAGCTGCACAAGCTAACACATTAAATCCAGAATATCTGGTAAGTATATCCATATCAATGAACTCGATCCAATCTAGTGTTCTATTCCATCCTCCTTGGTCTAACACCCTTAGAATCCATTCCCAGAAATGCCTCCCAGGTCTCTGTCAATATATATTAGCAAAGTCTTGTGATTCTTTTGGTGTATAAGCTATTTCCTTCTGAGTTATAGTTATCTGAGTTATCTGTCCCCCTGGAACTTGCTGAAATTTGACCCTAGTTATGGATCCAGGGGCAATAGGGATGATTGTGCTAGGTCTTGAGAGTGAGCATCCCTTTTCAAGGCATCTGCCTCAGATGAAGTTATTCTCACAGGATTTTCAGGGAAAGGAAGACTAATCTCCTCAGACACAGGAGGGCAGGCAACTTCCACTGGCAAGGGAGGCTCAGAGTGACTTGGGGGTGCAGGATTGTCAATTACATCTGAGTTCAACCAGATGTTCCCATTTCGAGTTTCAGGGTCCCATTCTTTCCCAATGAAACCCCTAACTTGCTCATAAGAAACTTGGCATGACTATGAATTCATGTGTAATACTGACTGAATGCCACTAAAACCAAGAATAGAAAAATAGTGCCCCATTATCACTACTAGTAATCAACATCACGCTTGACATTCTATCTACACAATAAGCCACAAAATGGAAACAGACATATAAATAGTAAAAAATAAAATTGTTATTATTTGCAGTCAATAAGATTTTCTACCCAGAAAATCCAATGAATCACCTGCAAAACCATTAAAACTAATATGAGAGGACATAAGGAATCTATAACAACATACAAAAATGAATAGCCTTTCTAGATACCATGCACCTAGAGACATGTCCAAGAATATTTAGCATTGTTATACAGCAAAACTTGGACACAACCTAAATGTTCACTGACAGAAGAATGGTTAACTAAATTTTAGTATATCACCTCTATGGGATATTATATAACAATTGCATTGCTATAGAAAACATTACAGACAAAGTAAATTAAAAAAAAAAAAACAGAGTCTGGAACAATATATATAGTATGATCCCGTTTATGTCAAAAACAAATATAAATAAATACTAAAAACATGTAAGTATTTAGGTGCGTACACAAGTATATATACAAAAAGAAAAAGATGTGGAAGAAATCTTTGGGGGCTGGCCTGGTGGCAGAGTGGTTAAGTTCTCGCGCTCTGCTTCAGCGGCCCCGGATTCGCAAGTTGGGATCCCGGGCGCAGACCTATGCACCGCTCATCAAGCCATGCTGTGGTAGGCATCCCACATATAAAGTAGAGGAAGATGGGCACAGATGTTAGCCCAGGGCCAGTCTTCCTCAGCAAAAAGAGGAAGATTGGCAAC